ATGAGAGTTTAATGATCTTAGAAAGAAACAGCAAGATTTTATCACTACTCCAGTGGAACTTCTGCTTCATTCTTTTCCACTGGATTTTTTAAACACTCTCTCTGGGTGAATCAATGTCACCATTCAGAGCTCCTTTTTGCAGGCGACTTCCCACCCTCTCAGCTCCCCCAAAAGTGGGACATCAGGGGCCATGGTCTCTTGCTTGCTTTACACTCACATGCAAGGCCTGAACAGTTACCTTATCTGTAAACTAGGTGAAATTGTGGTTTATGAAGAACAAAACGGGCAGGTAATGGCAATGTCACGTGGTTCATGTTACTACAAGTTTTCAGCAACACGACAGTGCTTAGCTAAGGATGACCCTAGAGGAACTTGTGAGCCTCTTTGTGAAAGATCCCAAGAGCCTTGAGATACACAGCTTCAAAAGCTGTTCAAACAACGGCAGTTTGGGAATAGATGAGATGGGTTTCATTGTCCGTGGACACGTGGCCGCGCCTGTGGATGCGTGTGCACGTGTGCTCTTACTTCAGACCCACCAAAGTGGCAGCCGCCAAGTGAGTGGCAACTTCTGCCTGATCTGAGACAGAAAAAAATGGGGAAGTGGGCCCTTATGAAAGAGCCAGTTTTCTAGAGCAGCCGTGACGTTTATGACCAGGTCAGCAAAGTGCATGAAGTGCAAATGGAGCAGATATGAGGGGGTCAGCATTGGTGTGCAAGAAATGTCTCGTTTCTATTTTTTTTAATCTACTTCATATGAACTACTAGCCTCCCACCCCTGAATTTCCAGAGGGAACTTCAAACTTATCACTGGGCATCCCTCCCACCACCCCTCCAGAGTCTCCTGAAATGCCTTGGATTTGGGGGGCACACACCAATCATTGCTCATCAGCATGCTCTGGCACTGCCCTGCCCTCACAGCCCTTCTTTGCAGAATCTGCTCTGTGTCTCCTGTAGGATGTGAATTTTAATCATGGCTGGGAGCCTTGTTCGCAGGGTGCTGATGGGGTGCAGGGCCTGGGTCCCCTTTCAGGTGGACCCCACAGTCATCATTTCCCTCCCCACTGTGCTGCCTCCATCCACCCAGTCTGCCTCTCTCCTACCTCCTGGGGCTCCCAACATAGTCTCTTGGGTGAGCTGGGGCCTGGCATGTAAACATTCCCCGAGACAGTGGGCAGAAAACGGCCTGGCCACTTCTGGGAAGAAACCTGGGAGACGAAATCCAAGTCACTAAATATATCGTCTGTGACTATCTTATACATTAATGGTAGCTAAGGTCCTGACAAGTGAGCACTAAGGCTTAGTCCAATACAGTGGCCACTCTCCATATGTGGCTATTTAAATTTAAATAAATTCGGTTCCTCAGTCGACGCATCACACTTTAAGTGCTCAATTGTCACCTTTGGCTAGTGGCTACCACATTGGACTACTTGGAGAAGTTCACCACAGGAGGTTCTGTGAGTAGCCCTGAACAATGTGTGTTTTTCTAGTAGCAGTTAAAGGTGGACCTACTCCTCCCCTAGCTTATTTTGGTACTCAGTTTGGTGATTTAGAAAGTACAGTGATAGAAATGAAGAGCCAGTGGGAAGGGGTGGCTGCAGTAAGCAGACCAGTACATTAAGTCTTGGGAGATCAGTTCCCATGGTTAGGTGTGACGAAGCTTCACCCATCATGAAGTGTGGTCCAAAGCATCCCTGACGTACTTGGACACTCACCAGCTCTAACAATCTCTGTTTCTTCTAAGTAGGGTTTGGGGTTTATCTCATGGAGAGGGGTCTTGGATATGATGTGAGCACCAGAAGTGTACTCTTCATTATGGCTCCATTTGCTTCGGAGGAAGCATCAAGAAGGGGAGTGTGGGGCGAGCACAGCTGGCTTCTGTGAACTGGGATGTGTACATTCAGCAGCTGGGGCCGGCTGGCAAAGGCAAGGCCGCCCACAGAAATGATGAGCCTGTGAACAAAGTGAGGTGGGTGAAAAGGGACATGATGGAAAACACCCACGTCCCCTGTCATCTTCATGAGACAGCACCCACAAGATGGCGATGCACCAGACTCTCTTAGCTCAGTGAACCCTTGTTTACCCATCTCTGTGTATCACACACCATGTAGGCAGGATACAAACGTGGACTGAGACTCCTTTGGCCTGCAGCCAGTGCTCCATCCAGAAGCACTCTTTAAAAAAATTTTTTTTATTTACTAAAGTATAATTGACATACTTTATTATATTAGTTTCAGGTGTAAGGAGGCCTCTATTTTTAATATTGTTTATAATACTCCTTATATTTTTAATACTCCTTATTTCTTTTGGTCTTCTCGCCCCATAAATACATTCCTTGCTTTTACATTAACTTCAGTCCCAAATAGCATTCTCAGTCTGGTGAAGTGGAAACAAGGAGACAGTTGTTTGGAGTTGGGAATATGAGGCACGTGCTTGCCGGGTTTGGCTTTGGGCAAGCAGGAAGTCTGTGGAAGCGAGCTGTAGGTTTTTAATGAAATGCATGGTGCTAGTCTCTGTGTCAGCTCATGTCCTGGTCTTCTCCCCATGGGGCTCCTTGATCTAACCCACCTCAGCTGTGTTAGCCTCATTGCCTAGATCTTGCTCAGTAGGCTTTTCTCCTCATTAGCACCCTGATGCATTCATCATCTCTGTCCTTTATTATTGCTGGAGGAAGTCTTTTGAGAGCCAGGTGGCAGGGCACCAGGGCAGGCGGTCTCTGGTATGTGTGGTCCTAGTTCTGGAGGCCTTGCTGAGCCCTGCTCTGTCCCAGCCCACTTGGTCCTTCCAGCTGCAGATTGGAGGTCAATAATGGGATGCAGGGCTTTCTGTTTTCACCACATGTTTATCAAGTGATGTGACTGAAACTGCCCTCACAGCGCCCAGTGAATGTGGTCCCCAGCAGAGGAGGCACCCTCGGGAGAACTCAGACATGTCTTGAGAGCACGTCTGTGGCTCAGAACATTTTGGAGCTCTTGGTGGGATGATCTGCACCTTCTACTGAAGTGTTTACAGTTCTGTGCATTGCTCTCCTATTCTGCATTGTCTTTAAGGGGTGAGTTTGTATTTGGAATTACCTGAAGTCATTTACAGTCAAATCTGGTCAGTGGGAGGGGAAAGGACACTGATTCAACTATTTTTATAAAGCTTGAAGACTGGCATGGGTTGGCTAATTGCTCCTTTGTTTGTCTGTTTCTGCATGACTGTAGTGTCAGTTCCAAAAGGGGCTCCGTGGACATTTTGAGCATGGCAGAACCGTGGCCTTCCAAGGTGATGGCCTTCAAAATGCAGTCCTGCACTAACTGATGTGGCTCAGCTGGCTGGGTGTCATCCCACACAGCAAAAGGTCGCTGGTTTGGTTCCCAGTCAGGGCACAGTGCCTAGGCTGCGGGTTCAGGCTCCAGTCAGGGTGGGTACAAGAGGGAACCAGTCAGTGTTTCTCTCTCACATCGATGTTTCTCTCCCTCTCTTTCCCCCTCCCTTCATTTCTTTCTAAAAATATAAGTAAAAAATTCTTTTAAAAAATACAGTTCTCACTGGGTGCTGGTCTTAGGCATTTCTTTCAAAAATAGTTATTAATCACATTCTGTGTTATAGGATTAGGGAGCCAGTTTCATGGCATGCCCATAGATGAGGCTGATTGCTCAACAGAATCAGAGAATCCTGTGTTCCTCCGTAGAGGGTGTGGAGGGGGTAGGATTCTTGTCTCTCTCCTCCCCATTCACCTGGCTCCATTTTCACTCTCTCTTTCATTGGTTACTTTACCTTTTTATATTTTCTTTGTTCTTGATTAGAGACTGCCCCTGAGTTCACAGAGAAGACAACTCCCAAGTGTGGCGCCTCTCCAGGCCTCGCAGCAAGAACACTGCTGACCTGAGGTGGCTTTGACTAACAAGCACTGTGTCACAGAGACAGGAGCTGGAAGACAGTCCTTCCCAGATGGGGCTGCGACTTAGAATCACCTGGGGAGTGTTTAAAACTTGTGCCTCCCAGGCTGTACCAGAATCAGCCGAATCAGGATGGCTGGGGTGGAAGCCGGACAGCAAGAGTTTGTCAAAAGTCCCCAGGTGATTCCAACGCGCAGCCAAGCTTGAGGACCTCTGTAAGGAGAGAGGGGTTGTCCCTGAAAATATGAGCAGTCATGTCTGAGCAAAGCCTCAGCCAGCCCATCGTGCATCTTCAAGGCAACCGGCTGTACTAGAGACATCATTGGATGCAAAACCAGTCTCTACAAACCACTATCCCAGTGGCCTTGGCAAGCCATCAGCCTACTCTGGGCCTCATTTTTCTCATCTGTAAAATAGGATAATAATAATAGCAATACCTGTCTGATAAGAGCATCTTAAAGAATGAAAGAGATGATGTGTGAAAGTCCGTAAATTATGATGTGGTCTGTAAGTGCTTATTGTTAACACTGTAGGTTTGTTGTTGTTGTTGTTGTTGTTGTTGTTTAATAGAAAGATACTCATTTTCTTTCTCTAGGTGGCCTGGCAAGGTACCTGGGGTGACTACTGTGGCATTAATTTTTTTCATTACCAGCAATAAATCTGAGAACATCTTAGGATGAGAATTTATTTCTCCTGTCTAATAAATGGGGAGTCAAGGAGGGGTGGTCTCCCCCAGATTTAAAAAGAAGCCAGCAGCTGGTGCCCAGGAGAACCATCTACCCACTGTGCCCAGGGTGTGCTCCCTCTGAGATGGTTCGATGACCAGCTAAGAGAGGAAGGACCTTGCTGAGCAGGAAGGGATGTTGATGATCCGCTGGCTTCTGAGCCTGACTTTCCTCTTTGGGCTCTCTGCTCATTTTGATGTCATTCAGATCAGAGTGGGTGGAACTGCCCAAAGATTGCCACTGACAAGTCCCAAAGGAGGGACAAAGGGAGACCCTGACGGCCAGGGCCTTTCGGTCATTTTGGTCAGTGTGACTGGTGCCTCGTGTGGTGAGCATCATCATGTCTCTTTTGGGTGCAAGCAACAGCATTTTTGCTTTGGCTTTTCCTCTCCAGGGATTTGAAGTTGGATGGAGGGAGACAATCAGCAGGTGCCGTGAGCTTGAAAGAGGTCATTGGCCTTGAAGGTGTGGAGCTGGGAGCTGACGGGAAGGTAAGGCCGCCTGGCTTCCAGTCAACCAGTTCGTGCCAGTACCACAAGGGCCAGGGAGCAGAAGCAGTGTGGCAGACCCCGAACCTCCCTGGCGGTGGTGGAGCCAGCTGTGGGCACCTTCCTGGGCCTGCGAGGCCAGCCTTCCTGCCCTGCCCTCAGCCTGTACATGGAAGTCCATCGAGGCTGTGATTAAAGAGCAGCTCTCCCTGTGCTTTATACAGTGGAAAGCGAGATGCTGGCCAGTGTCTCAGTCACATGCACATGCCCACACCCACATGCATGTTCTGGGGTGGAGTGATAATAGGTAGTTTGCACATGCTTTAACTGATGGTGTCAGCAAGCAACATTCCCACTCCCAGAAAGTACTTTGGCTTCCTGTGGTCCTGAGAAGCTAAGAGCCCCTCGGCCTTAGATAGTGACCCTGAGCAGCAGGGCTACCACATTCCTCTTTCACCCACAGTTTACTCAACTGCTGGGTTGAAGTCTGAGGAGTGAAGGTTGAAATGTGAACTTGACCTCTTGTGCTGGATCCAGGCAGTCTTCATAAACCCTCCCAAAGCCAGTTGGTGGAGACCATGCGCGTGTTTCTTTGGGAAAGCTGTCCCAGCATAGTTTGCATACAGGTGAAGCTGATGGTGGCAAGTGACCTCCCTGCCACCCTCCCCCAGGACAGCATGTCACCACTGTGCCCAAACAACATCAGCTCTGAGCTCACAGCACATGAGCCATGAGTCCCCAAGCAGATGAAAAGGAAGATACTTGTGCTGTTTTCATTCTTAAAGGTTGGGTGTTTGCACAGGAATGAGAGAGGACAGCACAGCGATGAGCATCAAGGATGGCATCTGCCCAAGGGCCACAAAGGAACTGCCAGAGGTCGCAGTCCCTTATCAGAGACTCCTGGGGCTTCATGTGTCCTGGAATTCTGTGCTTGCTGGTTTATGAAAAGTAATAACAGTTTGTGCTTCACGTATTACACAACATCCCAACAGCTTCTAAGATTACACATTCTTATCAAACACACTTACGTTTCGGCCATATAACTTGAGTATTCTCACCAAGTGGGATAATTTAAAAGCACAGATGGCCAGTTCTGGCACAAATTTGGCACACAATTTCATTTCATCAGATCTCATTGATTTTAGAATTGCAGATAGGAGACTATAGACCTGAACTTAGGTAGCAACATAGCTTGGTCAGAATGTGAGCCTAACATTGCCTGGGGAAACATCACTTGCCATTTTTGTCTTCACCTTTTAGACTGTTTCTTACACCCAATTTCTGTTACCCACAAATGCCTTTGGAGCCCGGAGAAATACCATCGACTCCACCTCCTCCTTCTCCCAGTTCCGTAACCTGAGCCACCGCAGCCTCTCCATAGGACGGGCAAGCAGCAACCAGGGCAGCCTCGACACAGGTAACCTGGGACCTGGCTGGGCCTGGAAGCTGGCGGCAGGAGGTGTCTCAGTGTACAGTGTGGCTTGGGTCTCCCTGTATGCACACTGGAGGACAGGGGTCCCTGGAGTGTGAGCTCATCCCGCAGGTGATGTGACTTTGGGGCACACACAATTCCAGGCCGTGCAGGCTCACAGCCGGGCCTCAGGGCGATCTCTCTAATGCAGTGCCTCAGTCGCCAAGCCCCAGAGCTCCCACAAGGAGCAGTGACAGGGCCACTCACCTGCTTCTGGCCCACATGTTCATAGGGCTCAGGTTTGATTGTCTTCAAATAATTGGGCCAGGAAACCCAGGATCCTATGTGAGAATTTCCCTTCTGATTCTCACAGTGGGTGCTGAAGGAAAACTTGAATGCCTCCAGCTTTGCCTGTACAAAGCTTTGGAAGAATTGGCATGAGGGAAAAAGCTCTTTATAAAGCAGTATTATTGCTGTCAGAGAAATTCCAGGTGAACGTGAAGTTCCTTAGGCCTGTCCAGGTGCCGAGTTCGGAAGCACCGTCCTCATGTTCCAGCCACCTCTGGCCATTCACAGCTGTTCACATTGGCGCCCGCTTTGGGTTGTGTTTCTGTGGACACAGTAGTCTGTCCAGAAGCATCCACACCAAAAACGTGCTTCTCATGTGGCTCAGCACCTCATGGATCCGCATGCAGGTTTAGAAAATGAGCCTTTTCGGCACCACGTTTTGTAATCTGTGAGTGTTCACTGCATTTTTCATGCTCTGTGAGGTTTTGTGCTCTCCCGGATCAGGGAGATTAACACATAATTTTCTAAAATGGAAAAAAAGTCTTAATGTTAAGGATGTGGTGAGCTCTTTGAGGGGAGGATACACTTCATTGGCATGCAGAGACATCTATTGAAAGTCAGAGCAAGCGCCTCGGACTGTGACTCTGAGCTAAATGCCCTGAAGCCAGCCGTTCTTCATTCTAACTCTGTCCTTGGCATTCGCCCAGCTGCTTCTGCTTTGGAGAGCCTGGGGCTCCTAATTGTCACTTTGCGTGTGATCCCTAGGCAGTGACCTGGGAGACTTTATGGACTACGACCCAAATCTCCTGGACGACCCCCAGTGGCCTTGCGGCAAGCACAAACGGGTTCTGATCTTCCCTTCATACATGGTGAGTAGTGATGGACAGCTGATTGGTTCGCTTCCCCCTCATCCCGCAGGGAGCAGCTTGGAAGTGGCGTGCATGCCCTAACAGATGACTGCTCTGCCTGAAACTCAGGAGCTTGTTTAAATACTGCTCAGCCTGGAGACCTTCTTGAGGGCTGTCCAGTCCTCACTAGGATGTTGCTTGTCCAGGATTCTGCTGGTCACCTGGTCTGCATACATCACGTTAGCTACCAGCCCAGGGTCAGGGACCCTCACCTTTGAGGGGGCTCGCCAAACTGGTACACCCAGAGACCCCCCGCTAGGAGAGGACCTGAGACATCACTGACAGGGCTGAGTTCAAGTTCAGCCTATGTGGAGTTCCTCAGTGAGTGTAGGCCTTTACATGCACTTTGAACAAATGTTTGACACTGGGCTCAGGATGACAGAATTGTCTCCTGGGAAAGTGAAAGTAGGACATTGTGGGTGTTACATGCAAAACCTTTCCTTGCTGTTTTTATTTCTTGGTCTTTTCCTGTGTTTCCCTCTGTGTCATTTTGCTTTCTGCTTTAAGCCGACCACTGTTTCCCACCAGTCTGGGCTGCTGTCTCTCCAGACATCCATGGAGCCTGGCAGGGCCCTGTGTACTTTCTTGGGGCAGGCTTGCCCTGGCTCTGTGGCAGGCTGAGCCCGGGATGCTGTGAGAGGAGAGGAGAGTGGGGCTTGCAGGGAGACCTGCCACCCCGGGCCTGCCATACCTGACATCAGGTGGGAGAGCACCGGCCCAGAATGCCCCACCGCCTCCCTGCCAGGTGGGCACAGCTGAAAACATCTCATCTGGCTCCCTTGCCCCTCCCAAGACTATGCTGTTCTCAGCAGCCGCAGCCCCAGCAGTGAGCAGAGGGTCCCTTTTCTGTGATTAGCTCTTCTGTCTGCAGAAGCCAGAGTGGGACCCAACCCTATGGGCCCAAAAGGCACCTGAACACTCAGTCAGAGCTGAGACTTCCCACCAGTGGGGGTCTGCCCTCCAGCCTCTCTCCTCCTGGAACATTTGGCAAGTAGCTGACATCAGAGAAACACCAGGCAGAACTCAGGCCCTGGCTGGTTACTTTCAGCATATATCCTCTTGTAATGTGGCAGATTGCTCAGGGGTTGCTCTGATGTGCGACATTGGGTCAGAATGAGTTACCAAAGGCATGTAGTTTTAAGTTGCCTCCTGTTCCTCACTGTCTCATCCCATCCCATCCTTATGCCCCAGATGCTAACTCAGAAAGCAAAACCAGAGCCGTAGATAGTTATTTTTTTCCACTTGTGACCCATGAGATTATTTTTCTTTCTTTTTTTTTTTTGAAAAAATTTTTAAGAGATTTTATTTATTTTTTAGAGAGAGAGAGGAAGGGAGGGAGAAGAAAGGGAGAGAAACATCGATGTGCAAGAGAAACATTAATCAGTTGCCTCTTGCATGCTCCCAAGCAGGGACCTGGCCCACAACCCAGCCATGTGCCCCGACAGGGAATCAAACCAGTCACCCTTTGATTCACAGGCCAGCACTCAATCCACTGAATCTCACCAGCCAGCGCTACTTTGTTTTTGTTTTTTTAAACAGAACTTATTTATGTAAGCTAGCACATAATAAGTGTTAATAAATGACCAGAATCATTACCCTAATGTGAAGGAAGGAGCAACGGAAAGGTCATGACTTGTGTAAGAAGAAGGATTCTTTATGCTCACAGCTTTATTTATCAAAGTTCACTTTATTTATTAAGTAACTTGGGCAGGAAGCTGTGGCTCAGGGAGCCGAAGTGAGGCTGTCACCGTTGACAGACAGGAAGTGGGGTGTGGAGGCCAGCACTCCTGGCTCAGAACGTTTCTCACTTCGTGTCTGGATCCCACATCCCGCAGCATTCAGTGGCAGAACTGCCGACTTCAGGACTTGAAAATGATTCTTGGGGTCAGCAGTTTAACAGATTTCCAGGTGCCCAGGAGAATGAGAAGGCACACTATTTGTTATTGACATTGCGGTTTTGTGGGGAGCTTGTCCACCATAGACAGGCAGTGTGTGGTGGTAACTCTGACTCCTCCTTTCGCAGGCCCAGTGTCGGGCTGCTGCCAGGTCTGGGTTTTGTTTTTGGTTTTTTTTTGTTTTTTCTTTAAAATATTTCACTGTGAGCTCCAAGGTTCTGGGCTACAGCACACACGTGTGCACCTGTGCACAAGGGTAGTTTATCCTCCATGGACAGCATGTTAAGTGACTTGCCAAGTCAGCATAAATGTCCTGGCCTCCTCGTTCTGTGTTCCCACACGCGTCATTTTTCATTTCACCACATTGAAGCTACAGCCCGTGCTTCCTGTAATAGTCCATTTTTCAGAGAATGAAATTGCTCACCAACTGCATTTGCCAGGTCAACTCCATACGGCCCGCATCTCCTTCGCTTCTGGCCACAGATATTAGCACATTGAGAAATGTAAGAGGCCCACTCATCAGCATTCTTGTCTGAGTCACTGATGTGCGTGCCACGTGTTACAAAGAACCTCAGACCTGCTCTCAGGAGACCTCTTCCCTAGAAGAAGGCATGGAGCACAGGGCTGTTTCACATGCGTTTTACACTGGCAGGGGTAAGAGTTTGGGGGTTTTGTTTGTTTGCCTGCTTTATTTTGTGTTGGGTAATAGGTGTAGAATTTGTCCAGTCAACCAGTACTGACTGAGGTCCTACTATGTGCCAGGCCAGGTGCTTCTTTATGCGGTAGAGATTACACCAGCCACAGTCCCCACTCTCCTCGACCTCATAGTGAGTAGGGAAGTCAGGCTGTAAACAAGTAGAGAAACCACTGTTGTCACAAGCAGATGTAGTCATGCAGGAGCTGATGGGGATGTTGGAGGTTGGGCCTCAGGAAGCTCCTCTGAGGAAAGGGCCCTGAACACGGCTGCTGCGGAGTGGCCCTGCTGGGCCTTGGGGGAGAGCCTGTGTGCGAGACCTCAAAGTGTGAAAGAGGTTCACTGTGTAAAACAGATACTTTTAACAGTAACAGTCACTGCCATTCCCTCTGCCTGTGTGTGCGTGGGCGCACACACACACACACACACACACACACACACACACAGAAAGTCGGGCCTGTAGAATGATGATCCTGACAAACTGTCCCCACTTTCCCAACCCCAGGTGCAGGGAGCTACACTTACAATAGGTACTGATGGCCAGGGTGGACAGAAAGAATGACAGATTATTCAGCCCAGGCTGTTGAAGGTCCTCTTCGAGGGTCAGTGGTACATCTTGGCCCTACATCTGCCCAGACACGCCTAGCTCAGACTCTACTGGGGTTCAAACCCACATTGTTGGCAGCGCACCCCCTGCAGGCAGACTTCAGACCCATGTGGAGCCTGTGCAGCCCCCTCTCCGGGTTCTCTGCTGAGACCTTTGCTTGGAGATTGGGGAGGGAGTGGCATGCTGGTTTCAGGGGGACTGTCTGTGCAGCACAAGGAGTCTGCTGAGGTCCTGCTGCTCTTGTCTGTCTTCCTAGGCCCCCAAGTTGGCCAGCCCAGTGGAGGCCTCGAACCTGAAAACCCGGGCTGTTGTCTGGTGTGTTGGGGTGTCCTGTAGCTGTGGAATTTTAGTGTGGATTGTCCCTGTGGCCTCTGCAGAGTCAACCAACCCTGAAAATGATGAGCTATTCCTTTCACCCCCATCAAATCCTGCTGCAGCTGTTGTTTTTTTCCTTTTCGTATTAAGGTGTAATTTACAGCCAGATGCACCCGTTGTAAGTGCACAGTTCCATGAATTTTGCAACCTCCTTTCTGAGCAAGATAGAGAACATTTCTATCCCCTTAGAAAGTTCCCTCCTGCCCGTCCTCTTTGGCTTTCACCCCCTCCCCACCAAAGCAAGGCTGTTCTGACTTCTGCCACCATAGGTTAGTTCTGCTTATTCTAGAACTTCATATAAATGGAATTATATACTGTGTACTCTTTCATTGTTTTGATACATCTTATCCCACATGACTTACTATCTGAGACTCACTGTGTAGCTTGTATCAGTAAGTTTTTTTTTAATTGCTAAGTAGGATTTCTTTGTATGGCTATACCATAGTTTACATATCCATTGTCCTGTGGATGGACATTTAGGTTGTTTGCAGTTTAGGGATACGATGAATATTGCTTCTACAAACATTCTTATATAAGTCTTCTTGTGGACAAATATTGTTATTTCCCTTAGGCAAGTAAATTTCTAGGAACAGGTTTTCTGAGTCGTGGTATAGGTGATGTAGCTGGTTGTGTACTTTCATTCATGTTTGCTCTCAGTATATGATAAAAGGGCCACAGTTGGGGCATGCCTTAAAGTGGGAGGGCTCCAGAGGTGAACATTTTTCCTTAAGACTCAGAACGGATCCTGTCATTTACACAGATTGAGTGGCAGCCCTTTAAAATTGGCCTGGCAGTCATAGTTCCCACCGTGCTTTTTGACTTTGATCCATGCAGGTGACTCCCACTGTTAGCCAGTGTGGAAGGGCAAAGGTGACATTTTGAACAACAAAAAAATGTCCCAGGCCAGGTATGGAAACCAAATTGTCACAGCCCCTGTGGTTTGGCCTCAGAGTTTCTAGAAGGCGAGTGCAGAGCGTGAGCGGATGTGGAGCCTCCTGGCTACATGCAGGTTCCTGCAGGGCCTGCGCTAATGACAGCATTCTCAGGGGCCGCGAGGGAGGGGAGGCTCGTGTGGGACCTGGATGCCGCCTGCTCTGTGTGCCGCCCGGCTCGTAATTAAAGTTTCACCACAGACTGGTTATTTGTCATTAAAGCCTGGCAGCCGAAGTCGACTGTGGTTTCTTCCCCCACTTTATGGGTGCAGAGAGCAATTAAGAAGAGAAAAATGAGTGAAAGCGCTGACTGAGAGAATGTCAACAAAACTTCCTTTCCCAGGAAGAAATCCCTCTCAAACTGTTTTGACAGAAGGAACTCCACTAACAGCCTTTCTGACATCTATAGGTACATAAATCTCAAGAGGACATCTCTTGGACTGCTCTCCATGATCAAG